TGCCTTGGCCTCCCAAAGTGTTGGGATTACAGATGTGAGCCACCGCTCCTGGCCTCTTCCCATTTTAGTCATGAGTGAGTGGTCATGATTGTTTAATTAGGGAGAGGAGACACCAAGAGCAGCACCAGGATTCAAAACCGAGTTCTAAGGCCAGGCCTGATTTAATGAGGCCAGGTTTCTTGTGGGGAAGGAACAGTGTCCTCCCAGCCCCTCGGGAGCGAGGTTAACAGCTGCAAAGCTCCTCCTGGGCCGCTGCAGACCGCCCATCACACTGGCCCTTTGAACCAGCACAGAAGGTGCCTTTTACAAAATGCTGTTAAAGAAATGATGCAAGAGGAAGGATCTAAGCTGGTAAACCTGGCCGGCCGTTCCACCCTCGAGGGTCTACAGCTGCAGCTCAGAAGCCAGCATGCCCGGGTTTGAGTCCTGACCCCACCCTCCGCAGGGCCAGCAGCAGGGTCCTCGCCCTCAGCAATGAGGCCGGTTCTGTGCCGTGGGGCGGTCCCGTGCACTACAGATGCCAAGCAGCATTCCTGGCTTCATCCCTCCAGCACCCCCGCCCCCAGCTGTGACAACCAAAAAGGTCTGATTTTGTCAAACGTCCCTGGGGACAAAATCACCCCCAGTGAAGAACCACTGGGCTAGAGGCTTTGATGTCTTGTACCCATTATAAAATGGGGTCCTAGAGCTGCCTCGAGAAGTAAATGAGAAAATACGTGTAGAATCATCTAGAGCAGTAACCAGCACAGCAGAGCACTCGCTAAACATTCGCTACAGTCCGGCCAGGCATGGTGGCTCACGCCTGCAAACCCAGCACTTTGGGAAGCCAAGGCACGCGAATCACCCGAGGTCAGGAGTTTGAGACCAGCCTGGCCAACATGGCAAAACCCAGTCTCTACTAAAAATACAAATTATTAGCCGGGCGTGGTGATGCAGGCCTGTAGTCCCAGCTGCCCAGGAGGCTGAGGCAGGAGATCACTTGAACCCGGGAGGTAGAGGTTGCAGTGAGCTGAGATCACACCACTGAACTCCAGCCTGGGTGACACAGTGAGACTCTGTCTCAAAACATGTGCACGCTTGCGCACGCGCACACACACACACACACACACACACACACGACCATTAGCTACAGTCCCTGCCATCCTGAGGGACAGAGACATGGAAGTGTGTGAACCACACCCAGCACGGGGGTCGACCGACAAAAGCATAAACAAGACACCCAGGAAGCTTCAAGGGAGGAAATCCCAGGAGGTCGGGAAACTTCCAGAACCTTCTCAGCAGAGGACAGCTGCTGAAGCAGATTTTCAGGGAGGCCCGTGATGGGCAGATGGATGGGGAGGAGACACGTTTCAGATGAAGGGATGCCAGGTGCAGAGGGGAGACGGAACAGGGCCCTGTATCTGGACCCACAGGAGCCAAGTCGGAGCCTGCCCCACGTCCTTGAGCCATTTAACAAAAAGCAGAACTACACTGTTTACGAAAAGACCGAGGGGCTAAGAACCGAGGCACACAAGCCCATGCTTCTCACGGTTGATTAGAACTCTCTGCGGAGCGGAGAAACTGGGAGGGCGTCCCAGGCACATCTGAGATGCCGGAGCCTTAAGGCTTCCTATCCTTGTCCCTTCGGAGAGTGGGATGGCGGCAGACCCCAACCACAGTCCCAACGCCGTGAGCGGGCGGCAGCCCTCCTTTCCCTGCAAAGATCAGGGGAATGAATCCACAGACCCTGGGGCCTTGGACTTCTCTAAGGCCTAAATGGATTTCAGGGACATGGGAGAGCTGTCAGTATTTTCTCCAGCATCAAATTTGTGGAGCTTTTCCTGAAATTAATTGCTACTTCCTTCATCCAGCTCCTGCTGTCTCCTGTCCCGCAACACAGGAAGCTAGGGGCTTTCAGCAGCCACTTGGGCTGATTCCAGCCTTGCAACCGTGAGGCCCCCGAGCTCGGCTTACCAGAGAGCAAGTAATAAAACCCCTGTGACGACAGCGCCACTTTCATCGTGAATAAATGAGCTCAATTACCTCCATGCAGAAAAAGGAGCGCTTCAAAGGGAAAGAGGGAAAAGGGGAGGAAGAGGGACGGAGTAGAAATAATCAGTCTTAATTAGCCTTATCTCTGAGGGAAATACATATGATAATGTTGGTACCCAAAGAGATTCAAATTAGTCTCATGCCAATCATTACATGTTAGTGGGTCTTATTGGTGATGACAGACTTGGCCGTTCCCCAGTCATTAGTTTTCTAAAAATGACTCTCCTGATGAAAAGAAAACCTGAGAAGCTCAGAATGTGGATTACCCCCAATGGGTCAATCATCTTCAGAGGGGATCTGCTGGCACAGGGATCCCCAGAGGGCTCGGCCACCCCTGCCCAGTGCGGCCCCAAACTTACTGCAGCCTGGACTGGCGGCCTGGGAGGCCGATGCCGGGTCTCAAAGCCACGTGAGACTCTGCCCAAAGCCACAGGTGGGAGGTGCTTACATGGTCCCCTCTACCCATGAAAGAGCCAACAGCACAAATGAACTTGGTCACCCCCCGGAATGGGCCGGGGGAGGTCTGGCTTGTGCGCTGGCCTGGTATACAGTAGGTACTCAGTATCTGCAGAGTAAAGATGGTGCCCTTGCCAACTCCTGGGAGTGCAACAGGCCCCTCCCAGGGACCCGCGGCCATGGCTTCTTCATCTGAAGCAGGAAAGTCGGCAAAGCGCCATCCACCCAGGCCACGTGGCGGGCACTGGCTCGGGGAAGGGGCACTTACTGTGCTGGCCGCTGCTACATCCAAGCTGACGCTTCAGAGAGGCAGAGCAGCCCGCTCAAGGCCATGAGGGGCAAAGGGGAGGACACAGAACAGGAATCCACCGAAACTCAGAGCAGGGGAGGGGGCCTGGTTCAGGCCTGCTCATACCTGGAGCCATCCCCACCCCCAAACCCAACACAGGTGTGGGCTATGGCAGGCGGGGGTCTCCCGCCGTCTCTGCCTGCCTGCCTAGCCCACAGCCAAGCCCCGGTATAGCCAGGAATCTAGGATTAGCACTCAGTGAGAGACAGCGGGGCGAGAGCCCCAGATGCAGATGGCACCAACAGACAGCCACAGACTAGCAGGCGTGGGAACACCACAGGGCAGGTGACCACAGTGCCTTCCTTCCACCCACCGTATGACCAGAGGGCCACCAACCTGGGGTGCAAGAGGTCAGAGCCGGGAGCCCCGTTGCATCAGGCTGCCAACACCCACACTGGTGGTTTTCCCTCCACTTCTGATGCAGAGAACCTCGGAAGCCATCCTTCCCCTCTCTCTGCTCCCCTGCTCTCTTCCTGCCTGATAAATACCTGCTAATACCTCAAACCCTTGTTATAAGCTCGATAAACTTGTGCTATGTGCTGCTAACGAGCAGCTAACGATTGCTCAGGTGTTTATATTAAACAGATTAATCGAGGACTCGGTAGATGGAAGAGTCTCAACGTTATCTCCGGTATGAACCAAATCCCGCCTAATCCCAGAGAGCTTTCAGGGAAAAAAAAAGAAAGAGAGACTATTCACCACTGGGACCATTGTAAACTCATTTTTCAAATGAGCCATCATTTTATGGAACAGACGATCAAAGACCAAAGCAAGATTTGTGGCTGAGATGCAGAGAACGTGTGTTTTTGTACCTCTCGGGGTGGCTCTTTATTTTTTAAAAACACCGTTGGCTACATTTGGAGTAATTCATCTTGGTGATGAGTCAGGACGTATCAAGGAAAGAACGTCTTCAGAAGCGGGGGAATGAGTCACAAAATTTCTACAGTGACAGGGAGCGTGAAACAACGGGATTTCAAGACCCAAATGATTAATGGCTCAACGCTTTCCACCAGGTTCCACTGTTTTACGCTAACCAATTAAGCCTGCAATCTGGAATAAAGTACTTTAACCTGAGAGCCACTTAAAAGCAACTCATGTCACTTCGTGCATTTAGGTTTTCTTTTAAGTGTATCTCACCCTGTAACCTTGTCCTACTGTTCTCCTAAAGCAGGCAGTTAAGTCGAGCAGGGGAGGTGACCGTGGGCTACGGTCAGGGAAGCCCCGAGCTGGCTAAGAAAATGCCATTGCTGGCCGGGTGCGGGGGCTCATGCTTGTAATCCCAGCACTTTGGGAGGCTGAGGCGGGTGGAACACATGAGGTCAGGAGTTCAAGACCAGCCTGACCAATGTGGTGAAACCCCGTCTCTACTAAAGATACAAAAATTAGCCGAGCGTGGTGGCATGTGCCTGTAATCCCAGCTACCTGCCGGGCTGAGGCAGGGGAATCGCTTGAACTCGGCAGGCAGAGGTTGCAGTGAGCCAAGACTGTGCCACTGCACTCCAGCCTGGGCGACCAAGTGGCACTCCATCTCAAAAAAGAAAAAAAAAAGTACCGTTATTGAGATCATCTCAAAGTTCATGGAGCCCACACCTGGGCCCAGGGCCGTGCTCCAGCTGTTTTCCCTGGACGGAAACCACCCGAAACCCTGCGCCACGCCACCTGGGGACGCGTGCACAAAGCCAGGGTGAGCCCAGCCACCTGCAGGCCCCAGGCACCTACCAGTGAAGTCCTGGAAGCACTCGCAGGTGTAGCCGCCCTCACGGCTGCGGCAGCGGCCGTTGGCGCCGCACGGGTTGGAGTAGCAGAGGTCGATCTCCGTCTCGCAGTAGTCGCCGGTGAAGCCGGGCGGGCAGCGGCAGCGCAGGCCGTTGATGGGGTGGATGGGCCGGAAGAGCACGGTGGTGGAGCTGAGGAAGGGCGCCGAGCTGTCGAAGCGCAGCACTGACACGCACTTCATGTAGTTCTCGCAGGGCTCGCGCAGGCAGATGTTGTCGTCGAAGGGCAGCACGCGCTGCGTGGAGATGGTGGTCAGCAGCGTCCGGTTCAGGTAGATCTGCTCCTGCAGGTCCTCCGACGGGAAGAACTGGCCGCGGACGCCGCCGGGCAGCAGCGCCGAGAAGGTCACGTTCAGGATGTTGGAACTGACGTCGGTGTCGTTCTGGACGTTGAAGACGAAGACGTGGTCCTTGGTGGTGGACAGCACCGCGGCCACCCCCTCTACAAAGAGGGCCAGCAGCGGGGACAGGAACTTCTCCTGGGACATGTTCTCCAGGCGGACAGTGATGCTGTTGGTCAGCATGTCGTCCGTGATGATGGTGACACGCAGGGTGCAGAAGGCCGTGACGCTGTGGATGCCGTCTGCAGACACAAGGAAAGTCAGGGTCATTCAGATGCTGCCGGAGTCACAGGTCCTACAGGCCCCATCCCAGGAGCAGCCTCAGGCATGCTTGCCAAAGGAGAGAGCGTGGGCATCCCCACTCCCCACCCACGACCACCACCTTGACCCTCCCTCCTCCAGCACCCTGGCCCCCAGCCCCTACAATCACCACCCTGGCCCTCCCTCCTCCGGCACCCTGGACCCCACCCTGGCTTCCTAAAGCACAGCTCCAATCACATATTTCTCTGGCTCCGAAGCCCTCAGAGGGCCCCAAAGCGCTCAGCAGGGCACTCTGACAACCACTGGGATTCAGCCCCTCACTGCCCAAAACTCCTCACACGCTTTGGTCCAGCCACATGGGGACTTGAAGCCCCCTTTTACCTCCTCTGCACCTGCCCTGACCTCCAGGGATCCTACCCTGCCCAACCTCCCAACAGTTCTTCCTGTCCTCACAGCTCAGCTCAAACTCTGCAGAGCCTGGCAAGCCCCCCTGGTCCTGCCCGGGGGATGTCCTCACCGACGTGCTGTGCTGAGAGTCCCACTTAGCTCGGCTACCCTCCATGCAAGTCCACATGCCCAGCACACAGGAGGCGCTGAGAAGCACCGCTTTACAAAGACACGCAGTGGCGTCTCAGCCAGCAGTAAACACATCATCACGTGCGGTACTTAGGAGTCTGAGGCCAAGACGGTGGAACGCCTTGTTTGCAAAGGCGCATGCATCACCGGTTCCAGGCCTAGAATCGAACAAGACATTCAAAGGGCGGGCCATGGGTACCAGTGGCTCCCAGGGACAGAGCAGCGGCCCATGCCCAGGGGCCTGCACCTGCCACCTCCAGGCCCGGGCTCAGATGTGGGGTGGGATTTGCAGAATAGGCTCCCAAGTCCAGGTCCTCCAGGCCTGGCTCGGATTCTGTGTTCCAGGAGCCCCCATCCCATGAGGCCCCTGCCTGTGGCCCCCACGAGAGCTCCCACCCTGGTTTCCATGGAGTGTGGGGCCCCTGTCACCCCTCAGAGTCCTGGGCCTCAGTAACTGCCCCAGTCAGGAGGACAGGAGCCGGGCAAAGAGCCGGAGAGGGCCAGGCCCTCCGCCCTCTCGTTCTGGGGACTGTGAGGAAGTGTCTGGGCCTTTGGAGGGTGATGAGGCCCAGAGGCTGCCTTGTCACCCCGAGCCCAGCAACGTGCCCGACAAGCACAGCGGCACGCGGGGAGCCCAAGAGGAAACAGAACGAGAGCAGCAGGTGGCTCCGCACCCGGCACTTTCCCGGCACCAGGAGCCACCAGTCACGTATGAGAGGGACTTAGAGTCATGTAATTTGTCTAAACAACAAAGAAATGCAACCACTCCAGAAGCCACAGAGGCGTCCAGGTGCCGTGGACCCAAGATCCCAAGAGATTATAACAGAACCAGCATCACCCCCGGTTCACAGGTGAGGAAAACAGAGGCGGAAGCCAAATTTTACAGCCAGGAACGTGGGTCCGGCTGGGGGTGCCCAGCTCCCACCCCAGTAACGACACCAGCTGGGGGTGCCCAGCTCCCACCCCAGTAACGACCCCCGGCTGGGGGTGCCCGGCTCCCACCCCAGTAACGACACCCGGCTGGGGTGCCCGGGTCCCACCCTAGTAACGACACCCGGCTGGGGGTGCCCACCTCCCACCCCAGTAACGACACCCGAGCCGTGCCCTGGGTGCTGTTGCTCTGCCAGGTGGCCCTCAGGACAGTGTGGCAAGTCAGGACTCAGAACGTGACATTAATATTTGTACAACCTCGGTGCAGGGAGGTTGCCTCTGGCTCTGGCATAAACCCAGAGCCCTTTGAGGCTACACAGTTGTGTTGGCAACTGCCACAGAGCACCTCTGAGCGGGAAGGAGCAGCCCAGAGGGTGTCCGCAGAGCCCAGAGGCAGAGGACCGGTGGCTGTAGGGAGGAGTGGGGAAAAACAACAATGAAGCCAAAAGGTCCAAGGCAAAGGACATGGTGGGAGACGGCCTCAGAGACTGCGTTCCTTCCCTCCCTGAGCCCAGGGGCTCCCGCTCCGAAGGGGGCCTCCACTCCTCTGCCCTGGAGCAGGGGGGCCCTGAGACGGCTGGGTCCCACAGGATGTGGCAGGAAACACATCCTCCAGTTCCTGGCCCAGGCCCCAAGAGGGCTGGAAGGTTCTGCCTCTTTCCTCCTGGTGCCCAGACCCCACACGAGAGAGGGCACGTCACGGAGAAGGCAGCACTCCCGTCCAGGGCCCCGGCCAGCGGAAGCCCCAGATCCCAGATGTGACCCGCCAGGCTGCTGAGGCTTGAGCCACCCCAGGGAGGGCCCGGACACCACAGAGCAGAGACCACCCCTCAATGAGCCTGGCCACACTGTGAGTAGCTAATACGCCCGGAATTGGAGGCCACTAGGTTTGAGATGCTTTGTTACACAGCACCGGACGACCAAAACCAATACAGTCCACTCATAGACCAACCGCTCATCAACTTAAAACATTAAATCTCACTGCCCAGCATATACGATACTAACGTGTTGCTGGTAAACAAACTGTGTCTCCTCAAAATTCTAACCCAAGGTGATGGGTTTTGGAGATGAGGCCTCTAGGAGGTAATGAGGGTTAATGATGAGGTTACGAGGGTGGGGCCCCACGAGGGGATTTGCATCCTCACAGGAAGAGACAGCAGAGAGCTCTCTCCTCTCCTCCACATCAGGACGCAGCAAGAAGGCACCGTCTACCAGCCAGGAGAACAAAGCCCGCGGGAACCCGGCCGCGCTGCCTTCCTGATTCTGGACTTGCAGCCTCAAGAACTGTAAGAAAACAAATGTTTGTTGTTTAAGCCACCCAATCTATGGTATTTTTAAATGGCAGCCCTAGCAGACTGACATATATTAACATAATTCAATTAAAATAAATTAACATGCTAAACAATGTGTTATACAATGTTAACCTAAGCTAATATAGTTTTGCCTTATGCAATGCTCATAAATAACTTTAACTTGCTACATCCCGTTTATATATTCCTTTGCCAAAAATAAATTGTAAACATTCAGCGACCCTAAGCTTAAGCAATCATCCTTCTGGAAGCCGAAACACACACACCAAAGACAAAGAAACCACCTAAACACCTATCAGCTGGGAAACGTATAACCCAATGAGACGGGCCACACAATGGACTATTACGCTGTCATCAATATCCGTGTGTCTAAAATATGTGCAAATAAAATGAAAGGGATATGCACAGCGTGATCCCATTTTGTGACGGGCTGCTTTACTTATGCACGAACATGTTATATATGTATAGAAAACTCTGGAAGGATGCTGCAGCGACGCCTACAAAGGACACACAAGGATGGGGTGGCAGAGAGAGAACTGCCTCTCTACTGCTCGTTTTGTGTTATTCAGATGTCTTACAATTAGCATGTACTATTTGGGTTGCTACAAATGCAATTCTTTTTGTAACAAAATAAAAAGATGAATCAACCACACCTTTGTTCACAGCAGCGCTATTCACAAGAGCTAAAACACGGAAGTGACCCACGTCCACCCACAGATTAATGGATTAAAAAAATGTGGCCCGGCCAGGCGCAGTGGCTCACGTCTCTAATCATAACACTTCGGGAGGCTGAGGCGGGTGGATCACGAGGTCAGGAGTTCGAGACCAGCCTGGGTAATGTGGTGAAACCATGTCTCTACTAAAAATACAAAAGTTAGCTGGACGTGGTGGTGCGTGCCTGTAATCTTAGCTACTTGGGAGGCTGAGGCATGAGAATCGCTTGAACCTGGGAGGCGGAGGTTGCAGTGAGCTGAGATTGCGCCGCTGCACTCCAGCCAAGGGGACAGAGCAAGGCTCTGTCTCCCTCCAAACAAGAAAAACCTTAAAAATAGCCTATGACCCAGAGGCATTGCTTGGCCACAAGCTGAACACCCCTGGGGTCTGCCAGCCTCAGTTTCCCTCCACCATCATCCTCATGTGGCAGCCAGAGTGGTCTTCCTAAAATATTGACCTCATTGCCCTGCTTCCTTGTGGCCCCTAACGGCACCCAGCATAAAATCCACACCCCTGTGTCCTGTGGTCTACATGATCTGTCCCTGTCATCCTGTGACAGCTTTTCCTGCTCCGGGGCCTTTGGACGTCCCCTTGCTGGAGCACTGCCCGCCTTCTCAGACACTAGCTTCACCCCTGGGTCCCTCACTGGAGGACCCCCCATGCTGACCCCTCACTCCCATCTGCCACATCCCAACTTCAGTTCTTGCACAGGAGTGCCAGGGCTCTCTCTGTTTGTTTTTGTTGTTTTTTGTTTGTGTGTTTGTTTTGAGATGGAGTCTCGCTGTGTTGCCCAGGCTGCAGTGCAATGACATGATCTCGGCTCCCCGCAACCTCTGCCTCCGGAGTTCAAGTGATTCTCCTGCTTCTCAGTCTCCCACGTAGCTGGGATTACGGACGTGCGCCACCATGCCCAGCTAATTTTTGTATTTTTAGTAGAGACGAGGTTTCACCACATTGGCCAGGCTGGTCTCGAACTCCTGACCTCAAGTGATCCACGCACTTCAGCCTCCCAAAGTGCTGGGATTATAGGTGTGAGCCACCGCACCCGGCCTAGGGCTCTGATGTTTTTATTTGTTTACTACATCTGTTTCTTTCCCCATGAGTCCCTGAGGACCCAGAGCCTGTAGGTCTTGTCCCTGCTGTACCCGTCACCTCTAGAACAGCTCCTGGCACTCAGAGCCACTGGATCAACATTTGTGGAAGAAAGGGAAGGAGGGAGGAGCAGGGAGAGAGGGAGGGAGAGGCAAAGGGGCCAGAGAAGCATGGTGTCGCTTCAACTCCAACATCAACATTTACACAGACAGCATAATGAGACTCCATTTTTTCATGTAAGCTATTTTTTTGTGCCTGTTTGGTTTGCTTTTCTTTTTTAATGTCCATTACAATAATACAGATAGGGTGCTGTTTACTTCCTCGTGGCAGTCGTTATGAAACATGCTTTTATCTTAAAC